CCAAGCATAAAAACCATATCAAGAATGTAAAACATTTAAAACGGTTGTAAAATACAGAAAAGGAATAATTCAGCATTTAAGACCTTTTTAAACGGTTGTAAATTACAGCAAATGAATAATTCAGCATTAATAACGAACCTTTAAAAAATGTTGTAAAATCCACAGTTAACGATTATAAAATCAAGAAATGGAATAAATCAGAGAGGATATACCCTAAATCAAGCATTAAGAAGCATTTACAAGTTAAGAACGAACCTTTAAAAATGTTGTAAAATCTACAGTTCAAAATCAAGCAGTCAAATCAAGCGTTATCAGTCAATAATGAGATAAAAAAAGCTTCAAGAAGACCAAACTTTCACAGAAACACAGAATCTAAACCACAGAATCAAACCACAGAATCTAACTTCCAAAAGACAAACCTTTCAAAAAAGCTTCTAAAACATAGTGAGGAATCTAACCTGGAATCGATGTAGGACAGATCGAAATAAAACACAGACGGAGACGGAGACGCTGAGAAATCAAAATCGAACAAAAAGATGTTAACGCCGATCGAAATCGAACAGATCAAATCGAAAACGAACAACGAGATTTTACCACCGATAGAAAGCGAAATCGAAAGGAGACGCCGATTTGATATGGAATCGAGATAACGGAATCGAGATCGGAAAATCGTCGCCGATCGAAATGAGAGAAAGAGAGAGAATGGTTGAGAGAACCGTGCAGATCTTAGGTTATGAAAGCAAGGGTACTTTGGTCATATTTGAATTAATTAAGGGGTATTTTTAAAAATGGCAAGCAAAAAGGGGCAATGTTAAAAAAGGGTGTGTGAAACAGGGCATTATTAAGTAGGGGATCATTTTTAGTGATAATGGACCTTCTTATTTTTGTTATTTTTATTTGCTAATCCAGAATTGACATTGTGATCGGTTACTTGGTACTTGGTAGCATGTAAAACGTTAAAGTTGTCTTTTATCCACGAAATATAATATGAAAAACTATATTTTTTTTTTTTGAGCAAATGAAAAACCCTATCTTTCTAATTAAAAAGTGTATTAAAATTCTTGTGGTTACTAAATTCTTCACTAAGATAGAGGATACGTGTCGAGCAAATGAACAAATTTTCCATGACTTTACCTGGAAATTGGAATATAAGATTTCATAATCAAGCATATATACCTAATTGATTCTCATAACACTACAGCTACGTGTGTGAGTATGTATATAATATTATGTTTGTGTGAACTTACTACTACCTGGACGTATGTAGCAAGGGCTAAAAGACAAAATCATCGTAATATTCATATGTAATGTAGAAGTGGAAAAATCACGATTTGCAATGAGTTATCAAAATAATATATAAGGGATAATGGACTAAACCGCTCTTCTTAAATCGATGAAAATGTAATAACTTTGGTTTCAGAACCGGTTTAGCGTTCAAAACAAAGTAAAAGACAAAAGAAGAAAAAGAGAGGAAGAAGAAAACAAAAACGAGGTAGGAGAGGACGAAGCTGGACCAGCTTTGAAACACTCCTGTCTTCATTCTTTGACCTTTGACTCGCTCCATTACCACATGCATGACGATGACAATTATCTTGATCAATATCTATCTATACATCCGTTTTGGACAAACTAGGAACTAATAATGTCACGACATTTGGTATCAAGTAATATAATAACAACATGTTTTATTAAATAGACTGCCATATCGTCATTGTTCTTTTTTTTTCTTGTCATCAATATAATTATAATTTTAAGTAGCCTTAATTAGTTTGTGATCACGCCCACTCTATTTATTTTTATTTTTAATTATAGTCTTTCGATTATAACAAAAATTCCAGCATTATAACTAAATGCAACGTACTAATTATAATACAGTTAACAGTTCCAGCATTACTAAATGCAACGTACTAACTTTTCATACTTCAAACCAATGATACACTTTTTTAGTGTTTGTTTGCGGTAAGAGATTCTATGTTTCACCGGGAGAGGACTAGACAAAGGCATTAGACAAAGAACAGAATGTAAAAAAATACACATTAAAAAGCTTCTTAGTTGTTCCCATGAGGACAATGCAATGGACAGGAAGATTCTGCCCTTTTGATGTTTGCAAATAAATAAAAAAGTAAATTAAAAGTAGAAAAGGGATCGGAAATATTAATTAAGGTCCAAGTCCACCTCCCGAATTTATTTTGATTTCGATGTATTTGTCGAGGAATATTTGTCTTCCTTCGATAATTTTGTTAAAGATGACAGAACCCTTCATTGGTCTAAAAAAAATGAAGATAACAAGGCCAACAAATGCATATAAATTATACAATTAAACTCAAAATATTTACACATTTCTTTCGGTATCTAGACATTAGTGTTGTGTGAAGCAATATATTGTTTTAGAATGGAGGTTTAAAATGTGATTATATTAGCTAGTTCTTTCAAATTCATAGCAGTGACTTTTTTCCACCACAACTTTTGTCAAAAGTCCAGAAAAAGTTATCGTTGAAGTTTCGATCCTACTTAAAGCCAACACATAAACTTATCTTAAATTTCACTACTTTGAATGCTGGTATTTCTTAAACAAAATAATTGAGTGAAGTCTAAATCTTCAAGCGCCATATCAAAATCGATCTAGGGTTTCGACTTTCGAGTCTTGACTACTAAGTAAAATATATAGTCATTGACTTATTGATCAATGCTTTAGAGGAAACGAGCTAAAAGTTACTGACTAGTAAGTAACTAGTTTTTGACTCATATGAATAAGAGACTATAGACCAGCTACTCGATGACAACTTTTGTCCCTAGTTTTGTAGTATTATGTGTAATTATGGCCTTGAACTTGTAAAAATAGAGCTCTACTATGAAAAAAAAAACAATGGAACACAGATAAATAGGAAACATATATTAATTCTTTCTTTCAAATTGTTAGATGTTTTGAATTTTTCTCTTTTTCGTAAAGTGAGGTGTTTTCTACTTTCTATTTATAATTTTATTTTTATCCCATCCATTTTTACTTAAATACCAATTGATTGAAACAGAAATATTTTTCTATATGTGAAAATTCAAAAATACTATTATTAAAGAAAGATAGAATAAACAATTTGGAGAAATGTAAACTCTCAAAGAATCCTAAGTAAGTAAACGAAAATAAGCAAGTGTAAAACTAAAGCGATAGAAAATGAAAGCATTGAAAGATGCGTGCAAAAAGAAGTGGTATTCAAAGCATACGTGAAACAAAACGAGTCAAAGTTTTTGCCGTAAAAGAAAAAACAGTCAAGCATTAAGATTTGGTTGTATTATTATGGGTGATTATCACGGGCTTTGATGTTAACACAAGTAAGTGGAACTTGTCTCGTAGGTCCCAACTTCGTTCCTAGTCTTTCGCAATTCACTGATTTAGTTTGACCAAATTCTATTATTTATAGCAAACAAAATCTACATCACACATTATATCTAGATCTTGTTTTTGATATATATACATTAATACATAGACAACACAACAATGGCTTTGGTGGTTGTGTGTAGTGATTAAAAGCGATTGTAACTTGAAGCTTGCGATTGAAAAAAAGTTTGAATGTCATGATTATTCATTATTGTTGATTTGTAGATATATGGAACGCTGATTCGTTAAGCTTTCAATTTATGGGGAAAATCAGGAAACTAATTTTTTTTACTTCAAATAAAATGTTAGTATACAATTTTTTTCAATGATATACACATGTGTCTACGTAGTGAGCTGAACTTTGTTCTCAAACATGTATTTTTTTAAAAATTAAATAACAGCTTATATTACTAAAACAAGTCAGAAATCTAAACCGATGGTACAAAGTTTACATAATTCATATTTTGCTGATATAGTTACGTACTTAATCGACATGTTCGAACATGTTGTGTAGGAAAAAAATAAATGCTGTTGTAGACATTTTTTGTTGTTCTTGTTTCATATAAACATTTTCAAAATTAGACTCATTTAAACAGTCAAATAAACTTTCAAAATTTCCCAAATAATTAGTCTTCTTTTCTACGTAAGAAATGACGAAAAATGAATATTGTTTTTGTTTGCCGTGATAGAAAATCAACCATGTTTCGTTTATTATGTAGAGTTTTTACAAATCAATATATTTGAGCGTTATATTAATAGAACACAATTGTAAGACTATGATAAAGAGATGATGTATAATTGTATATCACTAGATTTTAATCCGCGCTACACCGCGGGGTTATACTTTAAACAAAAGTTTGAAAATTATCTATAGATATAACCTATTGTTTTGTTTGGTTAAATATACTTACATATGTATATATTATATATATTACCCCGCGATACTTCGAGTCGATTTTTTATAACAATAATTTTTAAAGTTTAAGTTGTATTTTTTTGTTAATATTATTTATTTTATTTAGTGTTTAAGATTATATAACTGTATTTGATTGTTAATCCTAGGATTTCACCCGTAGTATACCGTCCCGTATTAATATCGACCCAAACCCGTCCCACCATATAACCCGTCCCATGAAATTAAACATCATTTTGTTATATTTCTTTTTAATAATATTTTTATTTAAAAACATATACAATTCGAGTCAATTTATAAGTTTGCTTTAAAAAACATATAGTTGTAATGTTTTTATTATAATAAAGTAATAATATATAGATGTTGCTTACTATAGTTATAATCAAAACCAACTAAAAATCTAAGTTTAGTGTTGATTATGAATCATAGTTACGACCAAAAAAAAATTAATCAAATACAATTAGTGTAAATTAACTAATTAAGAAAACAAACAGAAATATAACAAAACTTGCTTTAAAATCGTTAACAAAAAAAGGAAACATCATATTTAAGCAAGATCTTTGGAGCCAAAATCTTTTTTTCATATCTTTTATTTAATTTTCCAAATCTTAAGAATTAAATCCAGTGGCATTCCATTATAAATAGTAGTGAAAGCCAAGATTTATTTCATAATTGTATTCAAAAATGTATATATGGATTCATATAAATCTTAAGCTTCACTTCAAAGATGCGACTTTTTCCCCCAAAACATATTTACGTAGATGGCATCTCATGATGTCATCACTTAATTAAAAACTAACATCAAGAATTTTAACATAATTATTAAATTAAAAAATCCAGCAGGTAACAAAGTTATAAATGGCACACGTGTGGGCTCATACCCCAGATAAGTGTCTCGTTCCTCATATTCACTCTCACAACAAACAATCTCACCTTTCTCCTTCTTCTTCTCTCTCTGTTTCTGAATTTTTCTTAATGCCTAGAAATTTACAACCATTGGATCTTGGAATCCAAATACCATACCATTTCAGATGTCCAATCTCACTCGAACTTATGCAAGACCCTGTCACCGTCTGCACCGGCCAAACCTACGACCGAGCCAGCATCGAGTCATGGGTCTCCATCGGCAACAACACTACATGTCCAGTCACACGAGCTCCTCTCTCCGACTTCACACTCATCCCCAACCACACTCTCCGTCGTCTCATCCAAGAATGGTGCGTCGCTAACCGCTCCAATGGCGTCGAACGTATCCCTACTCCTAAACAACCGGCTGATCCAACCTCTGTTCGAGCTCTTCTCAGTCAAGCCTCCGCTATAACGGGAACTCACGTCTCTGTTCGTTCACGCGCCGCCGCTCTCCGCCGTTTACGTGGATTCGCTCGTGATTCTGATAAGAACCGCGTTTTGATCGCAGCTCATAACGCTACAGAGGTTTTGATTAGGATTCTGTTCTCTGAAACGACGTCGTCGGAGTTAGTCTCTGAGTCGTTAGCTCTTCTTGTTATGTTACCGATAACGGAACCGAATCAGTGCGTTTCGATATCTTCGGATCCGGGTCGGGTTGAGTTTTTGACCCGGTTGTTATTCGATTCTTCGATCGACACACGCGTTAACGCCGCCGCGTTGATCGAGATTGTATCGACGGGAACCAAATCGGCGGATCTGAAAGGAATGTTTTCGATTTCGAATTCTGAATCTGTATTCGAAGGAGTTCTCGATCTTCTGAGGAATCCGATTTCGTCACGACGAGCTCTCAAAATCGGAATCAAAACTCTGTTCGCGCTCTGTTTAGTGAAATCCACGCGACACATCGCGATCACCGCCGGTGCGCCGGAGATTCTAATCGACAGACTCGCGGCGGATTTCGACAGGTGCGACACGGAGCGAGCCTTAGCGACGGTGGAGCTTCTCTGCCGATCGCCGGAAGGATGCGCGGCGTTTGGTGAGCACGCTTTAACGGTGCCGTTGCTAGTGAAAACAATATTAAGAGTTTCGGATCGCTCGACGGAGTACGCGGCGGGGGCGTTGTTAGCGCTTTGTACGGCGGAGGAAAGGTGGAGGGAGGAAGCGGCGGCGGCGGGAGTGGTGGTACAGTTGTTGTTGATGGTGCAGAGTGAGTGTACGGAGAGAGCGAAGAAGAAAGCGCAGAAGTTACTGAAGCTTCTGAGAGATTCATGGCCTGACTACAATTCCTTCGCTAACTCCGATGACTTTGGTTGCAGCAGCCAAGTGGTCCCTTTTTAATTTTATTTTTTTTAAATTGGTTTTCACAGTAATTATTAAATTTATAATGTTTTTTTTTTTTTTTCTAATTAGAAGGAAAAATGGTCATTTTTGTGTGTATATGATGCGAAGATGTGAAGAAGAAAGATAATTTACAGAAACTTTTTGATGACCATGAATTAGTTTTTTTTTTTTTTTGTGTTTATATATTGATATTTTTTTGGTATGTGACTAATTTATCTTGTTATTGATTGGCGTTTTGAGTTGGGAAAAGTTGTTAAAGAAGCAAATGGAAGATATGCTTGAAGGCTTTAAAGTCTTAAAGTTTTTCTTTTTTTTTTTTAGTCTAAAGGTAAGTCAACTTTTTTTTGCATTAACTGAAAAAATAAATTAAAAAATAATTTTGGCAATTTCAGGTATGGATCGATCTCTTGAGTGCCATACGTTTGTAATGAGCAGTGCCGGCCCGATCAATTTGGGTGTCCTAAGCAAAATTAAAGCCCATAAATTTTTTTTTTAAAAATTAGATTTTTACCCTTAAAAAAATGTTGTAGTTGTCTCTAAAAACCCACAATATTTTTAAAAAGCCCTACAAAAATTATTGTATATAAGAAAACTTAACAAATTTTTAGGTAAAAAGGCCCTCAAAATTTTGAGACCCTAATCGGTGGCTTCACTGGCTTGCCTTCTCCGTCGGGCCTGGTAATGAGCGTCATTATGGTATTTTGTACTTTGTGAAGACCTCTTGTTAATTTATCTTCTTTAGTGTTTTGTTTTTAAAAGCATTTTTTCCTTGATGAAAGATGTTATTATAGCATTTGTTAACATTTCGATTACTATCTATTTTATGGACCCAAAAAGTACTTTAATGGTTGAATTGAAAAAAGATCATTGATCGGCTACATGGTCAAACTCACAAAGATTCAATGCAGTTTTGACAAAACATACGCTGCTTGCAAACAAACTGGGCCTAGACTTGGGCCGTGACTGAATATCTGCAACCTAGTTACTAGTTAGTGTTGATGTCCTTTGATGATAGTTTGGATTCAAATATGATAGTGACAGTGTGTGTATGAAGATTTAAAAAAGAAGATAAAAGTGATCAAAATAAAGACGAACCTAATAGGATTTTTTTCTCTTTTACATTCACAATTTTGATGATATATACCCTATGTTGGATATTAAACCAAATTATCTTAACACAACTAAAAACACAGTTTGGATTTGGTATACACTTTTCAGGTTCACGTGGATTGAACACATTTCCTTTTATTTTATTAGATCAAATAAAAGAGTCTAAAACTCATCACACCTCATAGAGTAGACACAAACATACCCACAAGCAGTTTTCACTATTCACCCAATACACACAAACAAAAGCCCTTGTTAAAACCCCTTTTAGTTCATCACATAGTCAAGGCAAGACATTTCTTGCTGCTCACTCTTTTCCTCCTGAACAACAGTTTTTTCAAGAACCCTAATCCTTGCTTCTTTCTCTGTACCATCTCCATCTTCTCACCTCTCGCCTTCACTGGTTCGTACACGATCAAAGCATTGTAATGGTTACCATCATCATCATGAGAAACTCGGTTATTATCATCCTCTGCTTTGTATGATGAATCTTTTGCCGTTGAGTCTTCTATATTTTCCCGGAGAGAAGATCTTTTGTGTAGAAATTTCATGGTGCTGCTTGTTTCTGTTGTAGATAACGCTCGTAGTTGCTTCCGTAAATTGGTAATCGTCTCTTGACACTCTGATAACTTCACAGAAGCTGTTGCTATATCCCATCCCTGCAAACAAAAACTCCATCATCAACAACAAACACACATGAACTCCAGATTTTGATATCTTATTCTGTAAATTCTGAATCTTTCCACTCACGTTTTTGTTTCTCTGCGTCGGTTTCTTCGTTTCAACACTGCAAAAACACAAAGAAAAGTGTTGAATCTTCGGTAACAAACAGAAGAAATGTTGAGGCTTTAGATGTGATTATTGTTTTAGTTACCTTTCTAGCTGAAGCTGAAGCTCTATGCAAGTTCCTTCGAGTTCTTCACAACAGCTCTTTCTGTAATCAAGTTCTACTTCAAGAGAAGACAACTTCTTCTGTGTCTCGTTGAGCTTAGCTCTTATTATGTTCAGATTTGTATCAAGATCTCCCTTCATCGATTTCTCCGTTTCCATCTCTGCCTCTACCGCTTCCTTACTCTCTCTCAACGTTTTGATCTCTGCTTCTAAGTTTCTGATCTTCTCCTCTGATTCCTCAAGCTTATTTCTCAGTTCTTGCTTCTCATCACATTCAATCTTCTCCACCTTATCTGCTTTTGTTAGACCCAAATGTCTCTTGATCTCATCCTTAGTCATAGGACCCGATTCACTAGGAGATTTCCATGTGATGCAGAGAGGATCTTCTTCACCTTTCTTTCTTGCTGCATTATCATTTTCATCCATACATCCTAAAGCAATCTTGATGTCTTGTAAGAGTTCTTTAACACCGCGTTTCGATATCCTCTCTTGCTTCGTTATAGCGCTCAAAACAACTTGAATCCAATCAAAAGATCCTTCCTTTTCATCATCCACTCTTGGATCCTTCTCAGTACACACAATGGCTAACTTCTCCATCTCATTAAAATCATCCATCAGTAGTTTCATCTCCTTCGAACCACAAGGGCTAATCACACTACTTTCGCTTCTAATGTCGAAACTCGAAGCCTCTAACGGTTTCTGCCCGCGGCTAAGATCTTTGATCTCCATGTTTTTCTTCATAATTATGTCCATTAGATTCTTGTTCTCTGCCCTAACATTCCCAATCTGCTCCATCAACAGATCATACTTAAGCTTCCGGCTTTGAACTTCATCTCTCATCATCAAATCGCTCTTGTTCGCGTTTCTTCTTCTCATCTCCATCTTCTTTTCTTCACCTTCATTCCTCATCGATATAGACTTCTCCGGAAACTTCTTCCGAAACAGAAGTCTTAACCTTTGGCATTCAGCTTCAAGCTCAACAATCTTGTTCACATTCCTAAGTTGCTGTTTATGCGTTAGCTCCATAGACCTACGAGTATGCTCTGTTTCCTCTGTTTTTACCTCAAGATCCTTCTCAAGAACATTATACTCATATCTCAAGAATGCGTTTTCTTTCTCCGTTGAATCTAATCTAGTCATCAACGCTTCAAATTCTGATTCCACCTGAAATTTACGCTCTTGTAGGCTTACCGCAAGCTCTTCTTTCGCCACAAGAGACTTCTTAAGCTGAGAGTTCTCCACAGCTAAAGTTTGAAACTTTGTCTTCATCTCAATTAGATCATCACCTGAAGATTCTTCTTGTCTCTTTTTCATAGTTTCAGTTGACCTGATATTGTTGTTATCAAGTCTCTTTGCCTCATGATCTCTCCCAAGAAGCTCGATTCGCTGCAGAAGCCTGTCGGATACACCACAAAAAGGCGATGACTCTCTATTCCCCAAACCAGTTTCAAGACCCATTTCTTCATCTTCAAGGAAAATCTCATCTACTACACTTTTGTCGCCATAAAGATTCACACGAGCATCTTTCTTAGGAGAGTTAAAGGCTACAGTGTCTAGCTTCTCACTTAGACTTTTTCGAGCTCTATCGGGTCTAACTCCATTTACTGGAGCAACCATACGTGCCTAAAGACCAATACCAAATAAAAAAAAAGATCATCATTTAAAAGACTTGTACTAAGCCGTAGAAGTTCACAAGCAATACATAGACACAACAGAAGCTGATAACGATCATGGTTTACCTAAAAAACATTGAACATTTAAAGCAAAGTTTGACTATTTCTGCAAAATTTTCGTTACCTGTACTCTGCTTCTTCTAGAAGAAGCTTGGAGTGTTTCTGCTGCAGATTCTATCTTTTTCTTCGACCGCCACTGATTTGTTTCCATTGATTCTGTAAGATGTCTTCTGCAACACATTTTAAAAGGAGATAGAGCATAAATAAAACATCGAACTTTATATTTGAGAAAGAATAAACACCAGAATATATATAAAATGTTGAATGAAGGTTGGGATGCAAGAATCTTACATAAGTCTTATGTAGTTCCAAGCTTGAACAAGTGTCTGAGTAATCTCTGCAACAAAAGAAGTATTTAACAAAACCAACAAAAGAGAACAAGAAGAGGAAAACTTAAGAAGAGAGATGAATCTTTGCAAGTAAATAAGGTAGAGAGAGGCATCAAGTGACTATGTGACACTGATATTAAATGTTTACGTTTCAACTCTTAAATAAAACATTAAGTAACTAGAGGTGTTAACAAAGTGTTCTGCATAATACACAGTTTTTAATTTTTATGGAGAAACTGCTTTAAATCTGCCCGTGAATGACAGGGAGAAAAACAATTAAAAAGAGTATTTGCAAATTAATTAAGACGTTAAATGATGTCCACAAGACATTTAGTGCTACCTAATGACAATGACATTTGCTTGTTGCTTCTTTCTTTGTTAATTTACTTTTGCCATCTCTTCTTTTCTTGGTTTCCTTTTTGCTTTCGTATCATTTCTCATAGTTTTCAAACAAGTGAATTATTTATGACTTGACGAAAATTCCACAAAATGAAAATCTATTTTACCAATGTTTTAGTTTATAATAGAAACAAAACAAACAATTCCAACGTTGTCTGATAACTGATCAACCAGATATGAAAGAGTTGACCTACATATATGGAAAATATTAGGTCTAGATATTGATTCTACCTACTTTCATTATTTGTGAGAAAACAAATATTAAAACTAATCATGGTTAGACAATCCACTAAATCACTAAACAAGACAAGTATTATTACTATCTTTCACTTTTCTTAACTTTTATTTGTTTTGGGGAGGGCCATAGGATTCCCAAGTGCTCTCCAGTTTCTCCACCGACAGTTTTTAGTTTTTTTACTACGACTCTACCTACAACAGCTCTTTAATTATCCATCATGTCATGTTGAAAAGAATACAAAAACAATAGTAGCAAAAAATGAAAAGTTCATAAAAAAATGGAGAAGTGGGGAAATAGTAAAGGAGACGTTACGAAAAATATTAATTTGAGGGCCCATATAGTTAGTATCTGTGGTTTCTATATAAAGAATAAAGCTACGATTATAAAACTATCACGAAATTATCATCAAAGATATAATATGTATAGGCAATATGATTTAATCACTTTAAGCCGTTAGTATGAAATATTTATTAATTGTTTTGTAGGGAAAGAAACCAAAAAGATCTCTTGGCATTATGGTCCCTTTGTTAAATGGATTTATTCTGCATTATTCGTAGTTTAAAGATAAATATTAAAAAAATTGATGATATAATTCCATGATTTTTTTTGCATGCGATGAATAAAGTACCTTATGCATAAGCATTCGTAATTACTTAAAAACTACATATGTATATCATCAACGGATTATAAAGAAAAAAATGTAATAATTGTTATTCTGAAAATCATCACCACTAAACCGATTAAATTTGAGCATCCAAAAACTCACTGTAGCACCGTACCAATTTTGGTTTACCGTATAAGAAAATTGATAAATCGATTAAGTGGTTAACCAATCAGTTTAACATCCGATTAATCAACTTGACGTTCACTTCTATTAATAAGGCACTTTGATTTAGATAATTAAACTTTAATCCAAAAACAAAACAAAAATCAACAACAAACACTTGAGGCCAATTTTCGGATACGCCAAATTCCTTCTAGAAAGTTACTGCAATATTGTATCTAAATCTCTTCCGATTTGTTAGGAAATTATAAGGCAAACAAAATACGAAACCTATCCATATATTAACCAAAAAATTAGAAGCCAAAGTAAACAAATTAAGAATATGATGCTATTAGTGAGCCAAGCCACTATTTTTTATGTAATCAAAGATTACAACAAAAGCGAAATTCTAAGCTAATAGCGAATCAAAGAATTGCTAATGAAATCAAATAAAGAGTGTTTCTACTCTTCAAAATTTCCGACCAAAGCTTTATCACTTTTGATCATCAAAAGACAAGACAAATGGAACCAGGCTAGAAAACTCAGCTCTCTACTGGCTTTGACGACTTTTGACCCACCGGTAAATCATCGATCCAGTCTCCATAGATTCGGTTAATCTTCTTAGAGTCGCTCCACTTGAGCAGACACTTCTTTCGCCGCCCTTCTTCGTTCAGACCAGAAGAATCTGCTGTTACTTGTGTAGTTGGTTTCATCGCAAATGCTTCATTCGCAGGTACCACGGTTTGTTTACTCACAGACGCGGTAGCGTTCACAGCTTCTCCATCAACCCTTCCAACAGAGTTATGCAACTCTGCAATTTCGTAAGCAACAACCAAATCAGAAACACAAGTTCACACAAAATCCACAAATGTCGGTCAAAAGAAGAGAATTCAGAGATAGTATCAATTCACACGACTTGCAAAAGTATACAAAGATACTATAACCAAACACAAGATCACACACAATCCACAAATATCGGCCAAAAGGATAGAATTCAGAGATAGTGTACACACAGGGCTTGTAAATCTATACTAGGATACTTTAATATAAGGTCCCATTAGCAAAAGATACATGTTCCAAATATAACATACCTGTTTGGCCATGAGCAAAGTGACACTTATCGCCAAAAGGGCATTGACCCGTGATGTCAAACTTCATGCACAACCTCGTCTTCCAGTACACAGTCTTGACAACACCACCATTGTTCATAGGTGCAGGTACCGGGATGCTTCCTTGTCTATTAACTTCAATATGATTCGAGGCAGTATCAGATGGTGGATCAGCAGCAGAAGTACCAACACTTATAACTGAGCTCTCTCTCAATTTCCCCGAGTCCTCACGAAACTTTGACAGATCCTCATGAATGAAATTGCACCTGTCCCCATAAGGACACTCTTCCCCAAAACAAAACTTCCTGCAAAGCTTCATCCTCAAGATTATCTTTTGATCATCTTCCCAATTATTATTCGCAACAGGCGCCAAAGACGGTCTCTCCCTCTCCCTCTCCCTTTCCCTCTCCCTTTCCTTCTCCCTATCTTGACCAGGAGGAGGTCCAACAATTTCCTGCCAATTCGACGGAGGCTGCCTCAAATCCTCGATCCCATGAGCAAAATTACAGAGTTCACCATTCCTACAAGTCCCGGCCCTGAATTTCGCACACATTCTAGTCTTATAGAATATATTAGCCGTCCCTTTGTTCACAGGAGGAGGGTTTAACGACGGAACCATCCAAGGATTACTACTCGAAGGCTGAGGAAACGATGAAGCCGGATTAAACACGTTATCATCAACAAGTCTTGGCCTTTTCAATGCAGGCTGTAACTGCTGAGGCGGTTGAGATTGTGACTGTGACTGTGATTCAGATAGTGAATGCAAGTCTCCTTGCTCGTTGTTCGTTGGATTAGCCATTGAATCAATCATCTGGGTTTGATTCCAACCACCATAAGGTGATTGCACGAACATGGGACGAGAATCAGAGTAACTCGAATCCATAACTGTAACAAAGATCGACTTTTGTGATTACAAAACTTATCTATATAACCAAACTAAACTAAATTCTTCAACTTTTGATTACGAAACTGCAAACAGATTCAATCGCAAGAAACGTAAAAACTTCGCAAGAGAGAATCAAAATGCTTGAAACTATGATGTATATAAACACGATTTGAGTGTAGAATTCGAATGGATCAACGAGAAGGAGAGTGTGACGAATTACGTGAAGAGTCAGAGATTGAGCAATACCTGGATCAATGATGGCGGCGGAAGATTTGAGAGAAGAAACGCGATTTAGGGTTTTTGAACATCTGATATATAAGTACCTTTTTTTTTTATCTTCTTTTGTCTTTTGCATTAAGAAACTGAATAGTAAAATAACACAACACAAATCATTTCATTAATTAATAAATTACATAATCTCTATGCTTTTAATAATTTTGTATCCTTCAACAAAATAATTCAAAAAATAATATATGTATAATGCATATGATGTTAAATTATCTAATTATATCGTATAACATTAAAACTTAGGTTGTCAATTTTTTTTTAAAAAACATATCTATTTGCTATGATTGGTTTGTCTCTGCTTAAGGTGTTTATCAAATTGAAAATATATAAGAAAAACTTAATAGAAAAACAATTTTTTCAAGACTATTATTCATTTGTCTCAAAACAAATTTCCCTTTTTCATTAAGAAAAAAATACCAGCTCTATATGCTTTTCCATTTGTTTACAACTCACACAAACTTAAATAATAAGTTATGATACAACGAAAATACTAGTATAAATTATCAAATTCCATGGCATGGTTTGGTGTTTTGAAGCAACACAAATCGATGAAATTGATGTATATGATAGATATGCCAACAAAGTAAATCAAAATATCATTAGTCCTCTATACTAAAAGTTATAAGTAAAATAAAGATATAAATACAAAAAGGATAGATGGTATATATGCTTGGTAAAAAAATTAACAACTAAAAAGATTGGTTTGTAAAAACTAAACATTATCTACTTACATCATACATTTAGATTGACAAAGTAAAGTAAATCTAAATATTTAAATAAATATATTTGGACTAAAACCTTTTGAACGATACTAAAAATCGGTTTTGTTTTTCAAACATCCTACTAGAGATGCTATTTATTTAGTGTTTTAAGTCATGGTTTACATTATCGATACAATTGAAACCAACATAATCTTATATTTTGTTCTCATTTAACAGAGTATAAGTATATGAAATTTTTTCTTAAACATAACTGAGATTTTATAAAAAAAAAAAAGATAAGAAGTTTAGACATCACTAAGGGAGACATTGTTTACAGACTTAAGAGCCATCTTGGCTAAAACATCGACTACAACCACCCTACTATTTATTTGGACAAAGCAAAACATTTTTATTCTCATTATTGTCTTAAAACATTTGGATACACTAACATTAACAATAATATATGATTTTTTTTTATTTAGACGAAAACAAAGATTTATTAAAACTCAACTTGAAGCCACATTTTGTTTCTCATATTAATAAACAAAAACCAAATAAACATTTCATAGTTTAGCAGGAAGCATGGAAGCTAGGAACTTGCAAGCATCTTCTTTCCCTAGTAGTTGCATCTGTTGCGGAATCCAGTCCGCTAAGATCTTCATTGCCTCTTTGACAGTTTCTTTGAGGGCTTCAGGTGATTCCATCAGATGAAAGACCCTGTCTTGGTCCAGTTCAAGAATCATTCCTGTGATTTTTGGTGCAAACCGTGGCTCAAGTTCTTCCACCATTTGGTACAAAGTCTCACCAATCATCTATTAAAAAGGAGAAATTTAAGTCATATAAAGATAACACAAACTATATCTTAAAAATAGCCACAATCTTAAGGTAAACAAAATCAGTTTTACCTTTCGTTGTGTTTCGGGAGGTAAAGAAGCAAGATCATATGGAGGTAAATTGCCATAGTACACAACTTTATTAGAAACGGATAAACGAACCATGGCTTAAGCAATGAGGACGAAGATATATTTGAGAGAAGAAACAAAATTTAGAGTTTTTTGGCGAATAAGATTTCATCTGCTATATAACAAGACAAAAAAAAATATTTAGGTAAATGACAATATTCTATTTTTTCTTATAATTGGGGATTCAACACGCTCTTTAAATTGTGTGTGAATCACGCGCTATAATGTAGCTAAGATAAAAATGATATATAACGTATGCCGTATTTTCAATTTTTGTTTTACGTAAATAGTATTAATTTTAGTTTTAGATTTGTTGAAAAACGATGGCCATATATTAGCGCGTAGTTTGAGTAATGTGATTTTACTAAATGTATTTTTAATTATTTGTTATATATATATAAACACTTTTACCGTTAATATTACTAGGTAACAATTAGCTTGATGCATGAGTATTAAGGTTGATTTTGATAATAATAGTGAGATTTTTCAAAATTTACAACATACAAGAATTGAAAATGTGGTACTTTTTAGTAAGTCCAATGTTTGTTACAAATTTATACACCGGAATAGAAAGAAATCCAAGAGAGTAATGCCTTACTCAATCAGAAACTGACAAATGTCGTCCATCCTCACCAAGTCAACATTCTCTGTATCCATTTTTAATTTCTTAAGGTAAGAAATCTGAGAGACTGTGATCTCTCACGCGTTGAAAAGGCGACTGTGAACACGCGCTAGTGAATCCATTATCTATTTATTTGGATGTGAAAGCCCAGATAATTTCATGGGCCTAATTTTTATAACCCATATATAGGAAAGGCACATAATAGTATCCGAGAGACAGAAGCAATGTTTGGGCTATGAGAGATATGGTGGGAGATTGAATAAGTGAGAGGACCTACCTTGTTGGTCTTTTAACATTCCAACCTTCGTATTGGTCTCAAATTATTATTCTTCTGATTGAATGTCGGCAAGGAATTAGTCTCTACTCTATATTCTTTGTAAAAAAAAATGAAAATTAGTGAAATCAAATGAATGTTTTGGTAATCATGTATAGCTATGGTATGGGATTTACCGTTTTTCTGTAAAACTAAATATGAAAGTGATACCAATCCTAAAACAATGTTTTTAGGTTTTTTTTTTCCCTACCGATATTCCGATTTATTTATTTTTTTGTTGAAAAATTTACCAATTTATATATAAAATTATTCAGAATCAGGTAGCTAGTATACAATGATTGGAGGATCAACCAGAAGATTAGACTTAAGACATAACATAAGGAATAAAATTCTTTTATTATTCTTACTAGATTGTGTACCCGCGCGTTGTGCGGGATTTAATTTAAAACTTTTACTTTTGAGTATAAATATAATCAACTGAATCTTAAAATATTTTACTTTACTCACATGTATTATCTTTCCAAATTATTAAAAAAAAATTCACACTTTTCACTACGATTTTTTTCGTTATCTCTTACTCGTCGTCTCCCGATATCTACTCTCTTTTCTCCTTAGATCGTATTTATTTTCTCCTTCATTTCTTTCAATACTCAATTTTTTTATAAATTTCATGATCTTTTTAATAAAGTGAATATCGGAAACAAAAATCTGGAGAGATGTTTGTTATAAGATTTTTTTGACCATGTTTGGTGCATCTAAAATTGCTTCATAGACAACAAATTTCATATATGGACTCATTCCTATTCATATTTTGCACCTTATCTTTCTACATAAATAATTTAACATATATTTTGATTCTAGATACTATTCTTAATGTTGATTTTTCTAAAATGTGACATTTACGAACTCATAAAAAATATTCTAATTTTAAAATATATTTATTTTTTAGATAAACAAAATTCTTCGTAGTTCTAATGAAAAACTCTTCAATCTACCATTACTATTCTAATTTCCAAATAGCATTCTCAAATATTATTATTATACAGTTTTATTATTCTATAAGATTATTTTATTTGTATTTGTGATGTTTAGCATAGTTTTTTTTGGTTTATTTCAAATCACCTTAGTTTTTTTTAATCTATGTTAATTTTCTAAACACTGATTAATATTTAATTTTTCTTTTTAGGTATTCATTTTTTAAAAAACCAATGCACCACTTTTTAACTTAGAAAACATTAATAATATAGAAAAATTTATTAATTTAAATATTTATATTGTATTATAATTATAAATAATAATATGTCGTAATCCTTCTTATTTTTTAATCGGTACTCACATTTTGAATGTCTATTTTCATGAAATAAGTAAAAACCTTTAAATTTGGTATTTTTAACTCTTATTTTCTTTACTACTAATAAATAATTGTAACTCTTAAAAATAATTGTTGTACCATTAAAATATATGATAAAAAAATTCTATCTCTAACAATTTTAAAATATTTACTCATATGTTAAAATATAATTATCTAATTTATATTTATTCAATCTCGATTTAAAATCTTCATATTTTAAGTTTTATTTTTCGTTTTCTCATAATATTTCATTTAATTTTAATTAATTATTGTTTTTATTTAATGTGTGAATTAATTTTAGTTTAATATTTGTTGTGCCCTTAAATAAATAAGATATGTGGAGCCCACAAAAATGTAAAATATGATGACATGGATACTGATATAGACACCTTAGATGGAGAGAAGATTCTCTAATTATATATATAGATAAAAAAAAAGAGAAGCAGAAATAGAAAAGCATAGGCTGATGTTTCGTTCGTTGGTCGAGTTCAACGACATAAACTCATTGGAACGCTTCACTTTTGTTCCTCATCAGGGTCCGTTACGCTTTTTCTTCTTCTTCCTTTGTTTCTCTGATTTCCCAAAATCGATCCTTTAGAAATGGCGGAACAACACAATAAGGAAGTGATTCGTCTTGAGCCCGAATCTGTCATCCCTATCCTCAAACCTAAACTCATCATGACCTTGGCTAATCTCATTGGTCAGTTTTCTTCTTCCCTGTACTCGTATTGTGTATCCCAATCACAAATTTTGCTTCTTTTTTTTCACATCCACAATCGTTTACCCTTTGTTTGCAAATTTGGTCGGGTAAATTGGGTCCTCGTTTTTGGCAGAACATAGCAATGATAGACAAGAGTTCCTCAAGCTCTGTAAGAGAATTGAGTACACTGTTCGAGCTTGGTATCTTCTTCAATTTGAAGATCTCATGGTCTCTAATTTAACCCCTTTCCTTTTTAATCTCTCTTTTACAAACTTGTTTTGCTTTGCTTTCTCTCCTCCTTTCTCATTTATCATGTGCTTTTGAATTTCCAGCAACTCTACTCTCTGTTTGATCCTGTACACGGTGCTCAGAAAATCCAACAGCAGAACTTAACTTCTCAAGAAATTGATGTCCTTGAACAAAATTTCCTAGCTTACTTGTTTCAGGTTCGTCTCTATGATTAGGTTATTATCACCTTCTTATGTTTTATAGTAATGTCAGTGTTCTTGAAATGTGCTCTTTATTTCCTTTTATAAGGTTATGGAGAAGAGCAACTTTAAAATAACAAGTAATGAAGAGATGGAAGTTGCACACTCTGGGCAGTATCTTCTAAATCTTCCCATCAAAGTTGATGAGTCTAAGGTTTAAACAAACATCACTTTTGTCACTAATGCTTGTGCGTTTCCGGGATTTTTATTAAAACAGTTTTCTTGCTTTTGGTGGATGAAGCTTGACAAGAAGCTGCTCAAGAGGTATTTTGAGGAGCATCCACATGAAAATATTCCAGATTTTTCTGATAAGGTACAGTTTGAGTTTGTATGTAGATAAGCATTTCAAGATTATAGTTTCATAGAGACTTTCTTGATGGTCCTGAATGCGAGATGTGTTGACAAGACTGATTACTTTACCCATTTTTGTTTAGTATGTCATCTTCAGACGTGGTATTGGATTGGATAAAACCACTGATTATTTTTTCATGGAGAAATTGGATGTGATCATTTCACGTTTTTGGTCCTTTCTCATGAGAATCACCAGGTTAGCACACATTTCCCAGTCTAGTGTTTCTTAAAGCTGAATAGTCGTAAAAGGCATTTACATTTTGGGTCTTAACACCTTTAGATCACAGGTTAGAGAAATTACGCGCTAAGAGGTCAAACAGTCTTAACAAGAAAGATCCCAAAAAAGATGATGAGCCAAACCCTGACACAGATAATGATGAATTGTATGTGGAGCGTATTCGCCTTGAGAATTCAAAATTGAGGTTATCATCAGTATCCCTCACATGTTGTGATTTGCTTTCATTCAACCCAACTTTGGCCATTCTGTACTTATATATGATAATGGCATTTGTCTTGATGGATTCAGCGTTAAGAGTTTCTTGAGCAAGCTCACAATACAAGAGCCTACATTCGATAGAATCATTGTTGTTTATAGGTAAGGTTTATGTATGTCTTGTTTCAGCTATTTGTTCTAACTTTGTGAACTTGTGGTTCAAGCCTGTGGTTTATGATGTTGCAGACGAGCTAGCTCTAAAACAAATCTAGAACGAGGAATCTACGTTAAGCATTTCAAAAACATTCCTATGGCTGACATGGAGATTGTGCTTGTAAGTTTCTGTTCTTGCCTTCTTTCACTTTGCGTTGCTGGATTTTGTAGCAAAAAATGCAAACTAGCTGCTATAACATTTATGTCTTGTGCAGCCTGAGAAAAGAAACCCTGGACTGACTCCAATGGATTGGGTCAAATTTCTGATATCTGCAGTAGTTGGTCTGGTTGGTCTTCTAAGCAGATTCTTTTTTCTTTTTTTTTTGTTGCAGTTCATATTTTTACATTTCTTTCTTGGTTTATCATATGACTTTGTCTATAGGTAGCCGTGTTTACTTCGGTTGAGATGCCTAAATCAGACCCATGGGTAATTATTGCCATTCTCTCCACAGTGCTTGGTTATTGTGCGAAAACATACTTCACGTTAAGTGCTTTCCTTTTTGCCTTTTCTTGCCTTCATTCTTCTTTGTTAAGCGAACAGTTTCTTATTCGCAAGTTGTACTCCTTCAGGTTCCAGCAGAACATGGCTACATACCAGAACTTGATAACTCAGTCAATGTATGATAAACAACTAGACAGCGGGAGGGGAACGCTGTTACATTTGTGTGATGACGTGATTCAGCAAGAAGTAAGTTCCTGCATGAATATAGTGTATATATACAATAGAAACAAAAAGCTCATTTGGATTGTAATGCGTAGGTAAAAGAGGTGATGATTTGCTTCTACATACTAATGGAGCAAGGGAAAGCTACCTTGGAGGTACATACGTACACCTAAATTTACTCTTTATATGGTCTATTGTCATCAATGAGTGCTGACTTGAGTTGGTTTGAATGTTTGGGAAATAGGATCTGGATTTGAGGTGCGAGGAACTGATAAAGGAAGAGTTTGGTGCGAGGTGTAACTTTGATGTAGAAGATGCAGTCCAGAAGTTAGAGAAGTTGGGGATCGTTGCTCGGGACACCATTGGAAGGTACTACTGCATGGGGCTGAAGCGAGCCAACGAGATTATAGGGACTACCACGGAGGAGCTTGTCCTCAAGGCCAAACAGGGCGTCACCCCTTCTTGAATTCACCTTCTCTTATTTTCAACATTTGTTTTCTTCTTCTCATTTGATTTCAATACAACTTTTAAGTTACTCTATGGTTGTTACTAAATCCAAGTGCAACAAATTATTAATCCACCAAAATAATTGCCCGATATGATGATATGAACGAATACAACATCCAGTATCGAACTACTACTGCTTAAGGCATGCAAGTCTAAGAACAATTTTTAAGGAATGCTATGAAGAGTCTCTGTTCCCAGCTACAGGTAGCTCAACTTCTATGTATATTTCACCTCCGTCCCGTTGTCCTCTAGCATAAAGCTCAGGATACTTTAATTTGTTCTCTCTACAGATTAACATGGCTGCCCAGCGTAAAAGTTAGGTAATGACCAACTAGCAAGCATTGGGAAAAAATTGGTACAAAAAGGTTGAGGAGCTTACGTTCGAGGAAGATGGATCTCTTTAAGGAGCAACGATCTAGCTTTGTTAACGTTAGTGAACCAAAGACATATATGATCTTCAAGATCCTTGAGTTGATGGGTGAGGTTAAGGTTGTTTTTGCGAAGCTGTTTCACAATCTCTTGAATTGAATGCAGGTCCCTCCCCCTCTCTAATCCAAGCCGAATTAAATGCTTGTCGTATTCAATCCCACTGTGCAAACGGGAGACAAGACGGTCAATGGTGTCAAGATCTTTGTTGAGCACAAAAGTACCCTTGGAAGCAGCATTGAGTTGACAAATGTTAGTTAACTCCTTCCTCTTGAAACTGTGAGGAAGATAGGGACTGCACAAGGGACCTGCAACAACAACAAGGAATGGGAAGTGCATGAGAGGCAATAACAGCTGCAGAAGCAGCAACCGCAACAACAGCAGCATCAAGACATAAGGCAGAACCAGCTGTGGCATGGTGGATGAGGCGGACCCGTGACCTAGACTTGCGAAGACGTCTGTCCAGATTATTCTTCAGCTGGGAGAAGCATAGTTGGGTGTCTTGAAAGCTGTGAGATTCAGGAGATGAGAAAGGGTTTTCAAACGTGTCAAGCTTAAGGAAAACGTCGAATGCCAGGTTACATAGGGACTCGTCAATGGCGGCGTGTGTATCACCGGGAAAGCTGTTGAAGAGGTCTAAGAGAGGTGTGTAGAGGTGGTGGCGAGCACTGTGGACGTTTTGGTAAAGATTCAAGCAAAGGCGGGTAGCGTTTTCGCTGTGTTGGAAGTAAGTGGAAACGAGATGGGTAAGTGTAGTTTGCTTGAAGTGTCTAATAGCTTCTTGAACACATTCTTTGTTTGGTTGGAGCACTTGAGAAATAAGCAGCTCAATATCTGGTTGGATGTACTGATGATGATGTTGTGTAGGGTCAACAACCACGTGAACCCTTGAACGTACGTCGTGGTATGAAGGGGTTTGAAAAGCATGAGCCAACTCGCGGCTGAGGTTAAACGTGGGAGATTGAATAGAAGCGTCGTTTCTGGAAGTGGAGGCCTCACCACTCTCTGAACAATACAACAGAGCCAAAGATGAACTCATTCAGGAATTTTAACAAACACGTGGTGGGCACCTCACTAGGGCATTTCAACAAACATGTGGTGGGCAGTTTCGGAGTGTGAAAAAGTGCATACCTATGGACGGATGGGGAAGAGGGTCGTCGCCGAGAGAGACCTCCGGAGAGGCTGGGTTGAAGGAAAGACAGTTCCGCATCTAGAAGATGAACTTGATTCATCAATGGAAAGCTACTGAATCATACATAACACCTGATCACTTTCGAATGTCTTAATTTAGTACTAACTTGCTTGCTACTCTTTTGAATGTCTTATTTTTTTCCTTTTTAATTTAGTCATACACACATATTAAAATTAAGACTTAATTTTATGTTTGTTATTTGGCCGAAAAAAATTGTTATTTGTTTTTCTAAGCGAATGTATTTTATGTTTTTTTCGGTTTTTGTAAAATTACATTATGCTAGTGAATCTATAATAATATTAAACTTCTTCTATAAAAAAATGCAGAAAATTCGAGAAAAAACAATCAAGTTTAGTTTTCTTTGTGAAAATAATGATCCCATATAATAGAACAATAATTTTCTTAATTACTTTAGTGATTAAACCTCAAACAAAACAAAAAAAGTAACAATAACGGAGAATAGTGTAATGTCATAATTATTACAAAATAAAATTATGTCAAATTTTGGATCAGAAAAATAAAGATGTTCCTTTGCCTCTGTTGAATTCTCCAATCCAACATCGCCTTTTCGATTGGAGAATCTCTTTGAAGAAAAGGTCCAACGTATACTTTCGTATCGTTAAGAAGCATTCCGTTCATATGTTCTGTGGCATTATGAGCTGATTTTTCAGTGTTGTACTGTACAAAGCCAAAGCCTTTTGATTTACCAAAGGCATCAGTCGCTACTTTGAATCTAAGAATTGATCCAAAGCACGAAAATGTATGATAGAGTCCTTCTTGATCGATGGATTTTTCAAGATTCTGTGACAGGTTACAACTCTTAAGAATGTCTTTCTCTTGTTACAATCCTAGAAAAAGAATAAGCTCTATATGTGTATCTATACTAGTATAATCGCATCACTTTTTGTGACGTGTGGGTAAAAAAGCTTTCGGGTATATCGGATATCCGATCCATTTTAAAAATTCCTTCACAAAAAATTTGTTGGGTCGGGTTATATTTAACCCAACTCATACACCGGATATTCCATATTTAATAATTTAGATTTTTAGAAGATTTGATTATATAAGATTTATAATTATGATTCTCCTATCATCTTTGTTTGATTTGTTTTTAACTGTTTTGAATCATCATATAATACATAAAGTAAAAAAAAAAATCAACTATTTTTCTGCATATACTGTGATTCGAAATTTTAAAAACGGACATATATTATCCAATTGACGAAAATGTGTGTTCAACGTTCTACATCGATTAAAATATTTAGACAATGATTCAGAATCATATCATTTTTTTTAATACAAATCACAAGATGGGTTAAGAAATTACGGAACGGGTTATATTTCGGAAATGATTTATATGGCGGACGAATTTGAATCAATATTTATATACCGCTTTAATACGGGTTAAATCCTCAGTTTATTAATAATTATCCCGTGGACTCGTGGTATACCGTTACTTAATAACAATTGTAAACTATAATATAAATAAATATGTTATAAGGAGATACAATTTACAAAATATTTTTATATTAACTTTAAAATTAAATCATCCCGCGGTGTACTGCGGGTTAAAATCTAGTACCTTAATAAATATATTACCAACTCCACGCTTTCGAAGACTTGGATTATGGACATAGGACATAACTCTAATGATTTTTCCCTTAAGAGTAGTAAAGTTCAGCATTTCCATTGCTCTTTTAGCTAATCAACGATCGACCAAAAAGAGAAATCAGAAGCAAAAAAACATAGTAACACCAATTCTGGCTGTAACCCTAATCGAATATAAATAGCATTATCAATGTGCGTAAAAATTAGTGAAAAAGTTACCCTCTTGAGGATAGTCAAAGGTAACGTAGCCATAACTAAGAGATCTCCTGGTGGTCAAATCTCTGCAAACACGAACAGAGCTTACATGACTAGCATGGCTAAACGCATCGAACAGCTCAGAATCAGTCACACTCGGTTCCAGATCGCCTACGTACAGCGACGTCTTCCCATCTTCAGCCATTTCGTATATACTCTGCTCCTCCCGAAACCAAGGCCACCATTCCATTCTCTCCTCTCCTTATTTCGCTACGACTAACACAACAAATCAAAAGTCAACATAGAACCGTAGAGGACACTGAGAAGCAGATTATATTAGAAATTTTCTGAAACAATGAATCCTTAAAAGTGAAAGATAAAATGTATCGGTCGTGACTCCATTAACTTTGAGTTGTTTGTTATTCTATTGAAGAATTTATGTTTCTCTTTTTCTATTACCAAGAATTTTATCGGAACCCGTTGACGGGGAAAAAATCATACACCAACGAAGCTAGCTTACACATGTATTCAACCACCCTTTTGGCATTATATTATGAAGATCTTAATTAATATTTTCTTCTAACAAATAATTCAAATGTAAATTTAATTAATTGTATTGTAAGGTGTAACCTAAACCAGCCCACAAGAAGACATGTGCATTGGACTTCTCATCATTTTCACTCACTTTATCTATATAGCTCTCTCTAAGTCAATCCTCAAGCCTTGCATCAATCTATATATCACCAATGGCCCCAAATTATAATCCTTCCATTTTCTTGATTCTGTCTCTTCACTTTCTTTCAATTTTAGCTACCGGAAATAACCACATAACTGACAGAAAATCTCTCGAAATCATCTTCGGCGGTGGCAGTGAAAGCTTCAATTACAATTCTCCGGCGCCATCTCCGGAGCCAGAAGACTATCTTCCGCCGCCTCCTCCTCGACCTCAAATACCATCACCCCTGCCTCCACCACAGCCACTTCCTCCTCTATTCCCATCTCCGGAGCCTGAAAACTGTCGTCCGCCACCTTATCATCATTATCTAACACCATCTCCGCCGCCACCACGGCCACTTGCTCCTCCACTGCCACCACCACTACTGTTCTCCAGCCCACTAATAAAGAACGTTTATTCAGTCATCAAGAATTTCCAGACGCTAATCGAAAATGATCCAAAGAAGATACTCAGAACATGGGTAGGCACCGACATTTGCGCTCAGGACAAATATATAGGACTAGAGTGCGCCAAGTTCCCGGGAACAAACGACCTCGCACTTGCCAGCATTCAGTTCAACAACTTTAACTTGGGAGGCAAGAAACTCCGCCTAGATAACTTCCTTAACAAGTTAGAAGAAGTCACCATCTTCCACGCAAATAGTAACAGTTTCGTGGGCTCTGTTCCAAAATTCAGCAACTTGAAGTACCTTTTCGAGCTTGATCTCAGCAACAATAAGCTCTCTGGAGAGTTCCCAAGCTCTGTACTAAAAGCAACAAACCTAACGTTTCTCGATCTCAGATTCAATTCTTTCTCCGGTTCTGTACCTCCTCAGGTTTTCAATCTCGACCTGGACGTATTGTTCATCAACAACAACAATCTTGTTCAGAGACTCCCTGAGAATCTCGGATCCATCACTGCTCTTTACCTCACATTCGCTAACAACAGGTCTCAAAAGCTCTACACTATCATTCTCTTTTTACTATATATATTTAATCTAAAACGTTTTTCAAATTTTGGTTTTTAATTCTTCATCACAGAGTTTTTTACTCTGTTTTTTTTTTCAAGAAAAAAACAAAGTAGGTTTGGTATGATGTCAGGAGATATTTGTGAATTGTGTCTTGTATTTTTGAGGTTCTAAAGGTGTTTTTTTTTGGAAATTACATGCGATATGATGCAGATTCACAGGTCCTATTCCGGGAAGCATTGGTGACATCAAGTCCCTACAAGAAGTCCTTTTCTTGAATAACAAGTTAACAGGTTGCTTACCATACCAAATTGGGAACCTTAACCGAGCTACGGTTTTCGATGTTGAGTCAAACCAGTTAACCGGTCTGATTCCGTACTCTTTCGGATGCCTAAACAAGATGGAGCAGCTCAATTTGGCTAGAAACAACTTCTACGGTACTATACCGGAGATTGTCTGCGAGCTCTCAGCCCTCAAGAACCTTTCTCTCTCGTCCAATTACTTCACGCAGGTAGGTCCAAAATGTCGAACACTCATCAAAAGGAAGATTCTTGATGTGGGTATGAATTGTATACTAGATCTTGCGAATCAAAGAGCACCATGGGAATGCGCCAAGTTTTTCTTGCGGAAACAGAGTTGTCCTAACTATAAGTCTTTCTTTTATGTCCCTTGTGGAAAAGATCCGCACCGGATTAAACCAGATCAAGAAGGATTAGACGGTCAGGCTTCGCCGCCGGTATCTTATGGTGCTCTTAACCCAGACCGGATTCGGAATCTCTAGCCAAAACCAAGTTGTAACTGTGATATTCATGGTTTGATACTTTGATTGTAACTGTGACATTGAATAAATGAAATATTATTTTGTATGTATTTAGGTGACTACAAGTAAAATAGATTTTTTTTTTGGATCGTACTGGGTTGGTTCTTTGCGAACCGGAACATGTTTAGATTAGAGTTTTGTCATTAGTATAAAGTAATCATTTGAGTCAAAAAGTTGAGAGAAGTAAGACAAAGGTTACAACAAACACAGAAAGCCCAAGTTGGGTCGGTTTGGTAGATGGGTGACCATAGCCTTTAGTCGCTTCCGCGGTTAGTTTTGCTATCATCATGAGGTTTGATTCCGGTTTCTTCTCTTCTTGCTTCTCACACGTCCCATATGGCATGTTCTCCTGCACAGGAACGTTAAATAACATTTTTCATAACATATAATAGCATAATTCACATAGTGACTACATAATCATATAATACTAACTTTACAAGCGGCTATATCTTCACAGCCGCAGACTGAATGACCATTTGCAACATCCACTGCTTTTGGAGCTCCTCCACCATCACTTCTCTAAACCACACACATCCATGAACATTACTCAAATGTTACTACATTAATCCGATCCAAAATCTCATCAAAACCAGACTACATCATTCGACGTACCTTGTAGAAATCGACTGCAATGAAGTTAGGCCAGCGTTGTCCTGAGGCTTCTTGACAATTTTTGATGGTGTCAAGAAGAGGAGCAGAGTTCTGCTTACAAGATCCGATCACGTCTGCAGTATCCGGAAAGTAATTGACTAGAATAAGTGATCTCGATCTATCTCCCATTGCAACTGATTCCGGTCTATTTGTACAAACTCCAGCCTTCATCCCTCCATCTCCATCTACAAAATCATAACATTATTTCATTCATATCATAATAAAAATGATATGTTGTATTAATCTATTTGGAGATGAACTCACATTGATTCTCTATCATGTATCTCCATATAAACGCAATTCCCTCAGACGCTTCTTTATGAGGGTTAGACGTGAAAACAAGCAATCGTTGGTTCTGACTTATCATATCATCGATAGTAGGCCAATCTTCTCCGTTTTTAGGCATTCTTGTTACCGGAAACATGAAATTTCGTAATCCGGATGCATCAAACACTTTGGTTAAACCATTAGGAGATTTTACATAGTCCTCGAGGATAAGTGTCACAACAACATCCTTGTTCTTGTCTAGAAACACTTGAAACTCCTTTAAAATGTTAACCGCGGGTTGCTACATACAAACCAAAAAACAAATTAATTAGAAACATTTTCGACATTGGACCGATCAAGTTATAAGAATCTATATGGAACTTACGAATGCGGTGTAATTGAAGCAATTTCCACCGTAAGAATGGCAGAGCCATATATCATTTTGGAAGTCGTACATGTCAAGCATAAACCCTCTAACACCATTCTGTAATAACCCAACATATATATGTAAAGATAAGAATCAAACTAAAAAATGAAACTTTTGAAAAGGGTTTATTACGATAAAGAATATTTACAAGGAGTTGGCTTGTGATTGAATCTTGTTGGTTGGAAGGTGCAAGAATCATAGAGCCAGTGCCTGATTTTGCACCTATTCGAGCAAATGAATTGTGGGTTGTTAACCACGAGTACTTGTTGTAAGGCAAACCTTTTACCTTTTGACACATAAAACATGAAAATGATCAATCGATTGTTGCAAGTTGCATGCAACAAATATTAAGAATTAAGAATATAAATGATTTTAAAAGAAAGAAAAAAAGAAACCTTGGAGGTGGGGTTAATGGGTTGCATTCGAGAGCATCTAGGTCGGAAACTATCGCTGGCGAGACACGATTCACAGTGTAATCCCCGATCACAATTCTTGCTCACGATGCATGTTTCTCCTTCCTACCAATCAACACAAAGATCAACAACACTTTATGTAAATTTTCTCAAAACCTATGATTCATTAGGGTTTTTAGGTTAGATAGAATCATTTATGATCAATTCTTGATGATTTTGAAGAAGGATTTGTTCAGATTAAGTTACCTTGAGGGCACATGAAGGGCTAAGGATAAGAAAACATGGAATGAGAAGCGCTGTTAGAAAGAAGGTGAAACTCTGAAACATTGTCTTCTTTCTCGCAACAAAATCCCATAAAACTTTTTTGAAAGAATTAAAACCCAAAGATTTTGGCTTTGGGAAGAAGCAACTACTTGGTAAAACTACAAAAGACTTGGAAGGGGTGATTTGTGTTTGGTTTTGACCAAACAACAAAAAAAAGAGAATAAAAACTTTAAGTCTAAATTTATCTTTTTCAAAAAAAATAACAAGAGGAATTGCGAGCATCTCGGAGACAATGATGATATTAATAGGTTCTTTTTATACTTTACATGCCATCTCCTACATGAAATGGTTATTCGATCTTTAAAGGTCATTTGATTCCTTTTTAAGAATAAAAGACCAAAAAATGAAGAACTTGAATGAGACTATCATCATTATCAAGTAATAACATGCTATCAAGTTAATTAAATCTTATGAAAATTAAATACGTTTTGTTGCCGGGCCAAAGCAATCATAGAACTAACCTCACACATGAGAAAAACCATATACAAATAAAGTATCATTACTAGTTTGACATTTAGGTGCCCTTATCTTAACATTCTACAGGTGTTAATGATGGATAACATATAGCGAGATAATATTCTTTGTATCGATAAAATTATGGTTTCTAAATTAGATATTATATCACATACAACAACAGTAATCTATGGAACCAAATCATGTGAAGAGATAAGATAGCCCACTTTATTTGACAATTGCAATGATTATGTTATTATACAAGAAAAAAAAATCATTTAAGCCAAAATTAGTAACTTTATTTGTATGGGGGGTGCTTAAAACACTTCTAACGAACTTGCGGGTAAAAACGTAAGAGAATGACAAATTAAAGGATTATTTACAGGTTTAATGGTTTTTCATCAAGAAATGGAGAAATTTTGGGAGGCTCTCTCTTTCTCTCTCCATCTCATTGTCACTGACCTTCTTCCACTGTCATTCTCTTCAGGCGACTTCTCATTGACCTCTCCTAACGTCTCTCTCTCTCTCTCTCTCTCTCTCTCTCTCTCTCTCTCTCTCTTCTTTTGGCCATGGTGGTGGTTTATAAGCAAGCTCTCTTGCTCGCATTCTTCGCATTTCTTGGATTCCAGTACTTGCCTTTACTCTCCGAAGCAGGTTTTGTCTCTCACAACATCCTTCACCAATCTTCTTCCATGGGTTTAATTCGTAACTAGATAAAGAATAAACGAACTGTTGTTAATCTTGATTTTTCAAAAGTTTTAGACTTTATGGGTTTTGCGAATTTCAATGTTCATTCGTCGTTTAAAGTGTTTTGGTTTTCTTTTGTTTCTAATTTGTGGTGAATTCGCTGCTTAAAGTCGTCACCTTTGATGAGATTATCATTAACAGAAAGAAACTCTTGCAAAATTGAAGCAAAGTTATGTGCTTTATGTGTCTTTATTGTGTTTACAGGTTGTCCATTGGACTTTACTTCATCTAACTTCACTCTAGTGGCTTCCGTGTGCTCGAACAATACCGATAGAGCTAGATGCTGCCGCTACATGAATGCTTTCGTTGCAGTATCTGTCGCCCGCTATGCGAACTACACAGCTGATCTTGGAGTTACATCAGATTTAACTGAAATCTGCATTACTACTATCTCTAGAACCATGGAGCTTTATGGAATCCCAAGAAATGCTACCATCTTCTGTGGATTAGGGACCAAGATTCTTGTTAACTACGATTGCGAGGGTCTGGCCACTGTACCGCCGATGCTTCATTCCACAAGTTTTGGAGATGTTTCTAGAAACTGCAAACTTCCGCTTCCACCGGGTGATCAATGTAGGAATTGCTTGAATTCCAGTATCACCTACCTTCGTAGCCTCGTTGGTGCAGATAATAGCATCAAACTGAGTACTTGTCGTGATGCAACTTATGCTGTGTTAGCAAGCCGGGTTGACAATTCATCTGCTCTTGAACTCGCTAGCTGCTTCTTTAATGTGCCTGAGCTTAGCCCCGCTTCAGGTATATACAGTTTTGTGTCTCAAAATACCATTCATGGAGTGTAGAATCTTATCATTGTTTCTATATTGGGAAAGATGCTAGACAGATCCTGTCTATATTAGTGTCCTGTATAAATTATACAGTATAATCTTCTTAGTATTAGATCCAGATTGGACTTTTTCTTTATTTTTCTGACTTTCTTGACATCTACTCAGGTTCGTCTCCATCATCGCTGAGCCCAGAAGCTTCTCCTCCAGTGTTAGCTGATAGTCCAAGCAGCGACAATCTTGTTTTGTCTCCATTAAAAAGTCACCATCGATATCACTTGACAATGGTTCCGACTATTGGGATCGCTGTTTCAGCTGTTGCTCTTGTGATGCTCGTATTCCTAATAGTTCTTATCCAAAGAAAAAAACGAGAACTTGATGACTCCAAGGGCATGGATTGTAATCTTAAAAGGACATCTCCTTCTCCCCACCCAAGGTCGATGATTCATGAAGGTGAAAAGTTCTTCTGATGGTACACTAACAAGAGATGTTAGACCATGTGAAAGAATTGTGTGGTTAAATTTTTCAGGTGCTTCGTCTGGTTTTCGGAAATTCAGCTACAAGGAGATAAGGAAAGCAACTGAAGATTTCAACACAGTGATTGGCCGTGGGGGCTTTGGGACTGTTTACAAAGCTGAGTTCAGTAATGGGTTGGTTGCAGCTGTAAAAAGGATGAACAAGAGCTCTGAACAAGCAGAAGATGAATTTTGCAGAGAGATAGAGCTTCTCGCCAGGCTGCATCACCGTCACCTAGTTGCTTTGAAAGGGTTTTGTAACAAGAAGAACGAGAGGTGAATGATTTCAGTTTAGCTTCATTTCGTTTCTCCCCTTTTGTGTGAAAAATATATTGGATTGCCCTCTGCTTATCTAACCTGATAATTACAGGTTCCTTGTCTACGAGTATATGGAAAATGGGAGCCTGAAGGATCATCTACACTGTATGCTCATCGATTTGCAGATTTTATTTATATGTTTAAGACTTGACAAAAAAAATTTGAACGTTGTTCTTCATCCCTGTGCAGCCACGGAAAAACCTCCACTTAGTTGGGAAACAAGGATGAAAATCGCAATCGATGTGGCTAATGCTCTGGTAAATTTCTTAAGCTATCATCTACATTTTTCATAAAACCGATAATGGTTTGTATTATTACTGTTCTTAGTTCTTGGCTGGATATGCTTCTTTTCCTCCAGGAATACCTTCATTTCTACTGTGACCCTCCTCTCTGTCACAGAGACATTAAGTCAGGCAACATATTACTCGACGAGAACTTTGTTGCTAAGGTGCGTCTGCATCCTTTCACATCAACTGGTACACTGACTTATCAATTCGTTTTACCTCTTGAAGAATTGACCTGTGAGGTTATGTGGTGCAGCTTGCAGATTTTGGCCTTGCACATGCTTCTAGAGATGGCTCCATTTGTTTTGAACCTGTTAATACCGATATCCGTGGAACTCCAGGTCAGGATACAAAGGAAACAACTACTCTTGAAATATTGAGCAAAATCTAAAACCATGAAATCTGAATTTCAGGCTATGTAGATCCAGAGTACGTTGTAACACAAGAACTGACAGAGAAAAGCGATGTGTACAGCTACGGAGTGGTGTTGCTAGAGATCATAACTGGGAAAAGAGCGGTTGATGAAGGTAGGAACCTGGTAGAATTGTGTCAGCCTTTACTGGTATCAGAATCAAGACGCATAGATCTGGTGGATCCGAGAATCAAAGACTGCATAGATGGAGAACAGCTTGAAACATTAGTGGCAGTTGTAAGATGGTGCACAGAGAAAGAAGGCGTGGCTAGGCCATCGATCAAGCAAGTCCTGAGGCTGTTGTACGAAAGCTGTGATCCATTGCATCTCGGGCTTGCAATGGCGGTCGAGGAGAACAAAGGACGGTCACTGAGAGGTGACTCAGGGTTTCAAAGTGGAGACATCCGTGGCTTGGCTTCTTCCTCTAGTACGACTTCAAGGTCGCATTGTAGCCGGAGTTTTCTGCTTGAGACTGGTTCCCCTCACTCTCCACCAAATGGTCTCTCTTTTTGAGTGAGGAAAGACAATTAGTCACATTTTTTTTCTAGAAATTTGTCACTTGGGATCATCCAAACTGTTTTCTAATTGCAATTTTGAAAGATAAATATGGGACCCAACCAGTCTCTTTGATTTCGTTGCCACTCTTAAGTAATGGTTAAACCCAAATTAATGATATAAGAGAACCAAATCCGTAATACAAAGTCAGACATATATATAAACAACTACTGTATGTCTTTTAGAAACCCCAACAACCAGAAAACACAAAAACAGAGGATAATCTAACCTAGACTAATAAAGGTCAGGGCACAAACTGTCATTTATTCATAATGAAAACTCTCTTCTACTCTGTAACCTAGACTTTTCACTCAATTTCTCTTAATCTCCTGTACAGGTAGCACTAACTCCTATTACATTAGTCCCAAGCTAGGCAGCTGGTTTAAACCGTTCTTGTTGCTTCATCCTTCACCACGGACCAGTTAATGTCCTTCTCAAGCATTGTCTTTTGCTGCCCCACGGTTGCTTCGACGATTCCTTCAGCTGCTAATTTCAAAAAGAGTACTAGTGAACAACACAATCAAAAAGGCTAATTCAAAACGAGGCCAGACCATGAAAATGTTCGAAAACTATCTAGAGTTTGAGCTTCAGTTGGGGACATACTTGATTAGGACCAACCTAGACTATTAGACCTACAACTTAAGTTTGGTCTTTTGCTGCTGATGTTGGTCCTAATCAAAGTATGGTCAAGGGTTTCAAAACGAACTTAATGAAAAAATTAACTTCTTAAACAATTACCTCATTCTTCTGCATCTCCACCATTTCAGCCTGCAATATAGGGGAAGCTAGGATTCAGAGCCAAGTCCTAAAGTCTGAGAGGGGAAAACAGAAAACACAGAGAGGTTGTAAAAGTCGGAAACAGAAAGAAACCTGTTTTTTCTGCAGTTCTTGATTCGTTTTCTTGAGCTTTTCAATTTCAGCTTCCAGTTCCAATGTATAAGCCTGCAATTAGTGGATCGTTAACAAAAAATGGAAGATAAAGCACCTTTCTTAATACAAGTGGTTCGGGATAGAAGAAATCTTTGCTGGTTTTTTATGTTTTTGTTTGATTCAGTCTTGCAAAAGATAAGACCAAAATAGTCAAACCAAACAAAAGGGACTAGATAAGTTTGGTTAGATTTATACTCACCTGCTTTCGAGCTCTTGATCTAGCAGCTGATTCTCGGTTCTTGATCATTCTCCTTTGCCTCCTCTCGATAACCTTCTCTAGACCTGTATTGCTTCTTCGTCCTCGATTAAGCACATATGGAACTGGTGATAAAGAATTATTTTCTGCGCTGCTTGTCCCTGGAGAAGTTGCTGCAACAGTAACCCCAGTTCCTCCGAAACTAGCTAATCCATTACTATTGTTGATGGAATTATTTGCAGCCCCAGCAAAACCCTTGTTGACTATATTCACAGGCGAAGAAAATGCTACATTTGTTTGTTTAGGAAAAATGATTTGAGGCAGCCGCTGCTGCGGATGCTGCTGCTGTGGATGAGGCTGATTCAGCTGCTGCTGTGGATGAGGCTGATTCAGCTGCTGCAACTGCTGTTGTTGCTGCTGCTGCAATAACTGTTGTTGTTGTTGTTGTTGTTGTTGTTGTTGTTGTTGTTGTTGCTGCTGCTGCTGCAGCATTGTTCCACCCACTTTGAGCCCTAAACCAGGTGGCTGATTCATGATAATAGAATCATTATTACCATTGAATGATATGCTGTTTTGATTTGGCTGATCAAATCCAAAACCAAAGCCGCCAGCAGCGGTGCTGTTACCATAAAACCCGTTGTTGTTGTTGTTTCCATTGACCTGACCCATCTGTTGAGCACAGTTATCTTCTCTTACAACCCCAGCACGGAACAGAAACTCTTCAAGTGTCATTTCCCCTAAAGTCTGTTGCCTCCCAGGAAGCGCATTCGACTCACCACCGCCTCCGCTGCTACTTCCCATATTACCATCCTTGGTGATCAAACATTTCCACACCTCATCAACAGTCTTCTGACTAATCGTTCTAGGCAACGTCAAAGAGCCTTGCCTCTGGAGGTTCCCACCAGGGATACCAGTACCGGGTTGCGCTACCGCTGTAGCAGCTGACGAAGAAGTCATGGCCAGGCCCTGAGCTTCCTCAGCAGTCCATATGCTCTTCAGGAGTTCATCCATGTTCATTGACCCGAAATCTTTTCCCGGTCCACCTAGTGTGTTCTGTAACTCATCAAAGGTAAGGGAATAGACCGAGGACTGCCTCGCCAAGGGCATGACAACACTACCCGTTGGCTTCATCTGATTACTACTCCCTTCCCCTCCAGGGTGACCACCACCTCCTAAGTTGTTGAAATTGATGTGAGTTCCCATAATCCTTGTATTCACTCCTTGTACTTCTTCTTCAATGAAAACAAAGCATCCAAGCCCTAAAACCCTTCTTATAAAATTAAAGTAAAGCAGTTAGAGTGTATTACACAATGCTAAGAATCCATGAAACAGAGAACGAGTGAGCTGTGTCAGTAATGCATGTTCACATCCATATAAAAGAGAAAGAAAACTAAAGCGAAACTGGACAACCCACATAAATGCGTGCGAACAAATGTAAAAACACAGTAAAGTCAATTAATAAAGGTCAGATCTTTGTATAATGTTTATAAAAAAAATGAAATCTGATGACTTTTGTTGTGGAAAACGAATTCACACCAGATACAGAGTTTACTCATACATAGAGCAAATCAGCAAAGATGAAACGGATCTATTCCAGATTCCAGAGGAAAATCAACTCATTTCTCTTAAAAACCCTAATAGCAACAAGAATCAAACCGATAAATTTAAACAAATAGCTACTAAAGAGACTCTCTTTAACTCCAATTTCACAACCGAAAGTTACTTCCTTTACTACTTCTTCTAACATCATGATTCATAAACGAAACAGAGGAAACACAACAAAAATTGGATGATCAGACAAAGACAGATCCACAAGTCAGAAAACGGATAATAATAAAGAGAAAAGAGCTTAAAAATATACTATATATTTACCAAATTAAATTTCTTCAAAACAAGATTCGTGACTGCGAAAACTCCAGAGACGCTACAGGGAGAGACGACAAGTGTGTTGCTGCCGCCTCGACACGAGCAGCCATTTTAAGGCCTGAACCCCTTTTTTTTTTTTTTTTTTTTGTTCTCCGCAAATTTTATTTTATTTTTGTGAATAATTATCTTTTAACAATATTAATTTTACAATTTTAAAAGAGTAACGTGGACGAATGAGAAAAAAGGGTTGAGATTTTAAGTGCTTGTAAAGATTTATATCCAATTAGAGAACGCGACGTGGTAAAACATTGGCCGTTTGTTTCCGACAGTGAAGATTCGAGTGGTTGGAGATCGTGCTTGGAATTTTTTCTCTCATGGATAAATCATAATAATGATTATTCTTTGTTTTTTTAGGTCAATTGATTCAAAATATATTACTTCTTATGTCCTTTTTATTTTCTTAATTTAGATTTATATCAAAAATTTAAATTGATCTTCAAATTGACATCTGCCACAATTGCAATCTTCAAAATATCGTGATATATTAGACAATCTTGATTTGTAAAAAAAAAATTTCAAAATCTTGATTTGTCTTTTTCCAAAATGGTTGACGATAAGGATTGTACCTTTTTCAACATCCATACCAATTTCATACATTAGATAAGACTAAATATAAATGTCCACATTAGACTTAGTAAATGTCCATATTAGACAAGATACTATCCATATTAAAAAGATGAATGTTTTCATTGGTAACTTTTTTTTACATTAAAATGTTCATGACATAAATCAGTAAAAAATATTTTTACGAGTTGGTACAAATTTTATAGATATTTGTTTGTCGACGAAAAATTATAAAAAAAAAACTATTATCTTTTTGTTTAATTTTTACTATATTGTGGTTTATTACCATATTTTAAAGAAATTATCCATATTAAGAGATCAAAGTTTTCACTGGTCATTTTTTTTTTACATAAAAAATTTTATGAGATAAATCAGTCAAATTTTTTTTTAACAGTTGGTACTATTTTTATATATAATTATTTGTCAACAAAATAAATAAATATATATATATATATATATATATATATATATATATATATATTTGGTCTAATTTTTAGTTTATACCATATTTTAATGATACAATTTTCACCGCAACAAATGAAAAGATTACCAATCACATCCGCTATTATTTTTAATTACTATTTTACCATTTTTGTTGTTTTCTAAAATCTATTTTATCATTTTTACAATTATTTTTTACAGTTAAAAATCTTTTAGTCGTTTTATATTAGAGAAATTGTTAAAAATGCCCTTTTTTCAATACCCCTTTTCAAAAATGCCCCCTTTGAGAGTCTATTTTTAAGTTTGCCCTCTTTTAATTTTTAATGACCATTTTACCCTTATTTGAAACAAAATTAGGTCAACAAAATACAAATATTTTTTGGCAGGAAAAGTGATCCCGCAATTTTCCCGCCAAAACACTTATAAAAAACCTTTAAAATACCTTGTAAAATTTTCGCGTAAAAATTTTTCCCGCCAAAAAATTTTCCCGCCAAAAAATTTTTTTTGCGAGAAAAAGAGATTCCGCAATTTTTTTGGCGAAA